TCAAAATAAATGAAAGTAACCGAGTTCATCTGTATAAATAATCATGCTCCCCCTACCCCCCAATCTTAAGAACTATGGAAAAGAACTATTGAACACTAGATATAGAGGATTTTTTTTTTTCATCATGAAAATTTTGGGTTGATTTTCTGGAAAATCTGTATCAGAAGGGCAAACTCTGTTCTTGCTATACTGAAAAGTCTTGCTTCTGGTTTCATTCCAGCAATCTAGGGATGGGAAGGCAGATATGTGAGGGAAGGACTAATGCAACGTTATGCTCCAAGAGCATTGTCATACCGGGTGATATCACATGATCTCACACATATGAAGAATCTAAAGAACTAAATAAACTGATGAACAAAATAGATCTGGAGACATAGAAGCATGGACACACTGTCGAATCTCAGAGGGAAGATGGGGGAGGGTGGGTGGTGGGAAGAGATCAACCAAAAAAGGTGTATGCATACATGCATAAACCATGGACAAAGACAATAGTGTGCTGAAGATCTGGGGTAAGGGCAGGGTAGGAGCCAATGGGGGAAGAAGACATATGTAATACTTTCAACAATAAAGATTTTTAAAAAGGAATAAACAATATTAATGCTTTTAAAAAAATTGCCTGCTGGTGTTGCTCAGTGGTTGAGCATCCACCTATGAACCAGGTTCCATTTTGAGGAAGTACTGGATAAAATTAGGAGCTTTTTAGTACTTATCTTTATATTGAGAGGTGATTTAGGGCCCCGAAAAGAAAGAATTCTCATATTGAATATATAAATTGTTAAAATTCTGCAGACACCAAGTTTCCAAACCTTCTAAGAAAACATAAACACACATACACAAACAACACACAGGCATATAAAAACTCATTCCCACACACAAAATGAAGAATTACAAAGAAAAGAAATAATCCTGTCCTGAGCTCACTTTTCAATTTGTAAAATGAGAAAGCTAGACTAGAAGTTTCTCTATGGTCACTTCTAGCTCTGAGTGGAGCAGATATCTCCAATTCTCTGCTTGTATTAGCCTTTGATGGACAGTGAGATTAAAAGCTTTAATTGCAGAGCTTTAAATAGAAACAGAATCAGTAGGCTCTTCCAGAAACTGTTCTTTTTAAATTTTATTTTTACTTGTGTTTTTATTGTTTCCATTTTATTTTAAAAGAACTGTAATCTAAATTTTTCCAAACTGCCACACAAGCTTCCTTGCTATACAACTGCCTTAGCAAGTTGACTTAAAATATTGTAAATATATTATATATTATATATTATATATTATATATTATATATTACATATATATTATATATATTGTTGTTGATTTTTTTTATAGAGAGGAAGGGAGAGGGATAGAAAGTTAGAAACATTGATGAGAGAGAAAAATTAATCAGCTGCCTCCTGCACACTCCCCACTCAGGATATGCCTGCAACCAAGATAATACATGCCCTTGACTGGAATCAAACCTGGGACCATTCAGTCCACAGGCTGACACTTTATCTACTGAGCCAAACCAGTCAGGGCTTATATATACTTTTAATGAGAAAATTTTAACTTCAAAAGTTGTCCTACACATTTTCCCCCCTTCAGACCTCTCATACGGATCTGCAGTTTCCACCCTTCATTGCCAAGAGCGTGGGAAAGAAAATCAGCTGTTTAATAAGTACCTTTTGTTAGTCTAGTTCAAAGTTGCTTTTCTCTCAGTGGCTTAGGAGAGCCATTTGAACACTTAGATTCTAGAAATAAAAGTTCCAATGGCAAGAATAGATGAATGCTCAGGTAATAATGGCCATATTAAATTGACCATATGCAAAGTTTAAGCAGGTAAATTCTTACCAAGGACTGTGAATAAAAAGCAGGTCAACATGGAAGAAAACACGAGAACACAGGAGAGTTAAAATGAGTCTGGAGATGCCCTTCTCTTCAATTAGTTCCACAATGGGAGTGGACATTTGTTATTGCTCCCTCTACTGTGGACAGGATTTCTGTGTGCTTTTAGAACGCTGACTCACTCCAGGCTTCACAGTGGAGCATGAACATTAGACAACCAATTCTCAAACTTTCTGAGGTGAAGAACCAGTTTATTTCATCTCCCATGACCCCATCCACTATGGACTGAAACTGTGTAAAATACAACAAAAAAGAATCACTGGGAAAATGACACACACAGAAAAACATAAAATATACAAGTTTCAATTTTTATTATTACTCTGTCAAATTGAAATAAAAGTTTCTAAACATCCTCAATTTTTATATACTCAGTTTTTTACTGACAATAACAAAAAAATGTGAGACAGACATTGGTCCATGGACCATACTTTGTGTAGCAGTGACATAGATTTGATTAACAGTAATTTCTGGCTCCCAGTAATTATATCAAGGTGTATTTTTGACTGAGCTAGTTTCATTCACTGGAATACATGTGCTACAATGGAAACAAATCTTGAAAACATGCTAACTGAAAAGCCAGATACAAAAATCCACATATTGTATGATTCCATTTGCATGAAATGCTTAGAATCGACACATCTACAGAGAAAGTAGAACAGTGGTAATCTAGAGCTGGGGGAAATAGGAAGACATGGCTAATGGCTAAATGGAACAGTTTCTTTAGAGCGATGACAATGTTTTAAATTTGTGGTAATAGATGCAAAACTTTGTGAATATATCAAAATCCATTGAATTTACACGTATAATATGTGAATTATGTCTCTATAAAGTAAACTAAAAAAGGGGAAACTTTATAGGAGATTTATTCATAGTTGCCAAATCTGTCAATCAAGAAAGATATCCAAGGTCAGTGGATAATGGACTGTGGTACACCGAGATGTGGAAATATTATTTAGCATTAAAAAGCAATGAGCTATTAAGCCATGAAAAGGCATGGAGGAATCTTAATGCATATTACTAAGGGAAAGAAGCCAATCTGAAAGGGCTACACACGGTATGAGTCCACCTAGAGAAAATTCAGGAAATGGAAAAAACTCAGGGGACAGTAAAAAAAAAAAAAAAAAAATCAATGGTAGCCTGACGTAAGGGTGAAGAATGAAATGAACAGGCAGAACACACAAGATTTTTAGGCCAGTGAAAATAGTCTGTATGATACTATATTGGTGAATACATGTCATTATATGTTGAACAAAACCCAAAGAATATATGACACATGACACCAAGAGTGAATCATAATGTGAACTACAGATGTGGGATGATACTGATTTGTCTATGTAGGTTCATCAGTTGTAGCATATGTCCCACTCTGATGCTGAAAATAGACTGTGGGGGAGGTGGGGTATGTGTGGTAGTGTCAGAGGGCATATGAGAACTTGGGCCTTCCTGTTATATTTGCTGGTAATCTAAACTTGCTCTAAAAAGTAAAATCTAAAGAGGGAAGAAGAGGGTGATAACGATGAGGAGGACAAGGAGGAAGGGGAACACCTCATAATGCCCATCTCACTTGACACCAACTCTGAAGTTTTCCCTGACCTCTTTCCCCTCTCCTTCCTTGCACAATATTTGCTTCTTTATATTTTGTGTTCTTATTCCTACTTTTGTCATAGTTCTTATCACTTCATCAGAATTGTTTGTAGGTTTCACTTACACAGGCAATGCCTTACTTTATTAATATTTCTATTCAAAATATTACAAAATAGAATCCAATACATTTGTTATGTAAATGATGGACATCTTATAGCTACTCTTTTAACTAATGTTTTAAAGATTTTGTCCCAGAATGTTCTTCAGCCTTTTTGGTATCCTGAAAAGTCTGTACCCATGTGGCTCATTCCAAGAAGGTTAGAGTAAATGGAACTTCCACCGTAAATAGAAGAAGAGGAGGAGCAACCACAACACACAGAAGTAAGTTAATGCGCAGTAACAATTTAACAGTTTCCAGCAGAAGCTCTGATCTCTGGGAGGCTTTTCAATAATGGGCTCAAAGTCATTTTCTGAATGGCAATGCTGCCTGAGGCAACCGAGCTCTGAACAGGCCTGCATCACAGAGCACTGAAGAGTCACAAAGGGTTTCTGAGGGTGGGGGAGAGGGTACACTTTCAATATAGCCCCTCCCTCCACTCAAGGACAGTGATCAGGATTGGAGTGAGGACCTTCCCTACAAAACCGAGGACCTAAGAGAGTCCTAAACTAATGACATATCTCTAATGTGTCTCCTCAAATAGAAGCACAGTATTCTAGTATAGCTTTTGGAAATTACTCCTTCTTAGAGCCAGTATGACCAAGTGCAATCTGAAATCTGAGACCAGATTTCTGAGTGGTATAATATATACCCTAGTTGGGGCTGTATGGAGATCTATATCTACCAATATCAGCTTTTGCATCTCCATGCTGCCTGAGAGCTTTATTACAAAACCTAGTGGTTAGATATATATATAAAATATGTGAGATGTATTCCTCAAAGAGATTGCATTTTAACCTTTTATTATTCATTTATAACTTATTAAAACAATGAAAATTTGATATTCAACATTCACAAAACTAAATAAATGTAAGATAACTTTAAATTCTGTATCCAGGTTCATGTAAGGCAAAAATATTGTATAGAAACCACGGATTTGAGGATATACATGTTCCTGAGTGTAAATGTCTGGGCACAAGCAAAAATTCCAGACAATATTCCAGACTTGCAAGGGGCTGGGGTTCCCAAATCAAGGACTCCAAACATTAAAGCGAGACTCAGGCAATTACGAGGTTACAGATGGAACATGCAGAATATTCCATTAAGGTAAACATATATGATACAATGTGGTTGGAAAATAGCATGGGAGGATAAGGTAGAGGGACCTAGAGATGAAAGAGGGATGGAGAGAATCTGCTGGGCTGGTGGAGGGAGGGGCTATGGATACACCCTCTTGAAGGTGTACCCTCTCCCCCCCCCCCCACGCCCCCCAGAAACCCTTTGTGACCCCTCAGTATTCTGTGATGCAGGTCTGGCTATAAAGTCAAGAGTCTGCACTCTCAGAGCTCAGTTACCTCAGGCAGAATTGCGGGTCAGAAAATGATTTTGAGCCTATTATCTAAAAGCCTCCAAGAGCTTTATCAGAGCTTCTGCTGGAAACCGTTCAATTGTTACTGCGCATTAACTTACTTCTGTGTGTTGTGGTTGCTCCTCCTCTTCTTCTATTTACTGGTGGAGATTCCATTTACCCTAACCTTCTGGAAAAATGAACACACCCAAAAGGTAAGCCCAAGAGAGATTTTTAAATTTTTTTTCCATTTCTAATCCCACATTTATAAATGATTTTAGTTGGGTCAGAAAGACACCTATGATGGGATGTCTGAGGAGAGAACAGAACATCACTTTTCTAAGGGAAGAGACCAGGCAGGACTAGGGGTTCAGGGACTCAAGTTACCATATGAAGCTCATAGAACATCTGGTATGGTGGAGAATTCCTGTATTTAAAAAAAAAATAAAAAAATCCCACAGTGCCTTCATGGCCCTGGATTGGGTTATTTTGAGTTTGGGATCTCTGCTAGAGATCAGAGTTCCATTGCACTTCATCATGATCATATTCCCATGTCAGGCATAACTGGAACAAGCTTTCCTCTCCGTTGGGCTGATCAGGAGAGAGGTGCTGAGCACCTGGGAGCCTCTGAGCAGAGACAGGAGCCAGAGCTCCTATCTGATGGAGCAGAGATGAGACTGTTGGCCCCCAGATTTTATGCCCTCCTTAAGCAGAGGGCTTCTGACTGAGAACTGACTATGAATCTCATGAATACAATCCTATGAGTTTTTTAAAGAAGAAATAAACCTGAAAACATTAAAAATATTTAACTATTGATATAAAAAAGGAACACATAGTTCCATTAATTAGTCATATTATTCTTGTATAATTAATGTCTGAGATTGCTAGGGTGAGGAGTGACAAGAAAGGTGTCCCAACCCCTCATTTTTTTGTTCTTAGCATCATCAGGGCAGAGCCAAGAGGAGGAGGAAAGGTGGGACACAGAAAGATAAGGTTCTACCCGTCGATGTGACCTCCCCAAGGGTGAACCTTTCTCCTTCCCATAAGGAACCAGGTTTGTGATTTCTCTGATGTCAGCTGCTAGACACAGTTCCTCAGAGGAGAGGCTCTTGGGAAGATAGTCAGAACCTGAGACACATCTCAGATTTTCTGCTCTGCTGTCACTGGGTATGAAGCAGTGATGGATCTGGGGAATGGGTGTTGAGTAGTAGAAGTTCAGAATCAGCACTTCCGTTTCCTGACTTTGTGAAAGTACTTCAGGATGATCACATTCCTCTTTGATGTAACCACTATCCTCTATGCTTCACATAGTGGTTTTCAGCATCAAATGAAAGATGTATGTGCAAGTACTTTACAAATGAAGCAACATACACATGGGAACCTTTTTAATATTATCAATAACCATTTGACCTCACTGATTTGGGGGGCTTTCAGAGTTATATGCCAATGGTGTCCCATAAAGGGACTCCTCTATAATAGTTCTGCTTCCCCTTTCACCATGTATTATCTACTCTCCTGGTTTCCCAGGTTGGAGATACTACCAGAGGGAAGAAGAAGAGAAAAAGATGCTGCTTTCTGTCCTTAAAAGGTGACTAGTCTTTCTCCTTTCTTCCCTGATCCCTCTTTAGCATGTTCTATGCAATTTAAGGGATTCAGTGCAGCCCTCTGTAGTCATGAGTCGGGGTTGCCACAGGAATGGGGATTTTGAGTGAAGGCCTTGGGGTAAGTGCTATTGAGTGCATCGTGAAGTCATGGATTGGGGCAATGTGAAGGGGTAGCAGGCTTCAGGTGCCACGCTCTCCAATCAGGCCAGTAGGTTCTCCTTTGTTTATCCTGGTCCTTGCCGCAACTTTGTACCTCCTGTCTCCTGCAGCCCCCTGGGTCAGCATCATGATTCCACCCGCTTTCGTCAGCTGTTATGTCCAGACCCCTCCTGTGAGGTGTGTAATGATGCAACTGCTGAGATGGATCATCTGCTCTTCTCAGAGGCCCTGCACGGTTCTACTCCCTCTGTGTCCTCTTTGGCTTCTGCAGCTCCTGTGACTGAGTCATTGTCCACTCTGTCCCCTGCCTTCTCAGTAGTCCCTCCAGGAGAGCCAATACCACCTCCTCTATCTGAGCCTTTCCCACTACTCCTCTCCAATCTCTCCCCTAACCCAGTAACCCCCTTAAGTGATTTTGCATCATCATTACCACCAGATCACTCTCTGCCATCAGAGCCTTTGCCTCCATTCGAATCTAAACTGACAGTGGATGATTCCCCGTTCCAAACCTTCGCCTTTCCCTCTCTCCCACCACATGACACTCAGAGCTCGAATACTTTTCTGACCCTGAATACCATCGTTATTGATGCCTCCATTACCCAAGACATCAACCCCTTCCCAGATTTGGGCCTGACTTCGAATGCCACAGCATCAGTGACTTATCATGGCCCACCAACCATGTCTGTCTCACCACCACCACACTACAGTTTAACAGTGACTCAACCTAAATCCATTCACATCTCATCCAAGCCTGCTCTAGAGAACTCTACTCCAGACAGCACTCAGGCATTGTCCACTTATGTCCCTCAAGGCACTGACCATACAAAACTGTCAATTTCACACTTTTTCTGTCAGAAAGCTTGTGTCAGAGACCCATTGCTGTTCACCTTGGCACAAGATGATTTCAATCAAGTTCAGGATATGGGATATGACTCTGAGGAAGACCTAAACACCGACATAATGAGTCTGTCAGGAGCAAATTCATTGATATCAGGGCACAATATAAGGCAGAGACAACCAGAAAATGTCTCAAGAGCACACTTGAGCAAGAAATCTGAGGAAATCAATGAGGGTCAGCTCCCTGCAACTGTGCATAGTCCATGGCATGCTATCCATCAGACACTTTCTGGGCAATACCGCAACAAAATAAAACAGACACATTTGGCACTATCAGCGGGTAAGGAAAACTGCCTTAACACCTGCAATGAGCTTCCCTTCCTTGAGTGCAGTGAACAGCAGAAACTGGAAGCCCACATTACCAAATTTCATTTGAGGAGGATGTGGGCCCTTCTAGCCAAAGTCCTAAAATCCATAAAGATCTTTAAATTGAGGGGTACTTCTTCCCATTCCCTGTCTGATTCCAAATCTTCCTCTTCAACCAATCTGATTTCTGAGAGGGATTCCAAATCTAGGAGCTTCCAACCTGTTAGAGGAATCTCTAAAACCCTGAATCAGCCTCACCCTGTCACCTCACTTATGGGCAAGGAAGGACAGAGGACCCTTAGACAATCACCCCTTAATATTGCCCGTGGGCTGGCAGGGGAGGTTCAGAGAATTCAGGTTGCCCTACAGACTCTTCTGCCTGTTACAAATAGTATTACTGACAAAGAAAGTGAGAGACACATTCCAAGAGCCAACATTTGTCCCCCAAAGCTGTCCATAAGGCAAGCTAGCGATGGACATGGACCAAAGAATCAAAGAGTGAATTCCAGTCACAGCAAAAAAATGAAGAAATCAGAACCCGTCTCCATGCCCAACATGTTCAGGGCTGAGGAGCTTGATGCTCTTCAACCCAAAATGAATGACATCTTGACAACCAGCAAGCTGGGAATTTCCCAAAGGTTAAATGTGAATGAGAGTAAAGGAGTAACTACTATGACAACTAAAAGCCTCCCAGGGGAAACATCAGTTTTCCAAGATCTTAAATCAGCAAACCTTCAGAAGCAACTATCTGAGACAAAATGGAAGCTTGAGAACAGGAAGCAGAGCCAGGCCCAAGGCCAACACACTCATGTGTCCCATGCCTTAGATAGCTTGTCTAACACAGCCTCCCTGACTCAGGCTCAGGGTGTCTCCAGTGTGGACAAGGCTGCTCACCAGGTGCTGCATGTCCCTTTGGGGAACACAGGTGTCAGTAGGAAGCAGCCACGGGAACCTTGGGTCCCTAGGAATATCGCAAGGTCATGCCAGGATAAGAGTTTTCCACCAATTGCAAAGAAAGCAAGGCTCACAGGCTCCACATCAGAAGAGCTTGGTGGAGGGAATGCAGGCTTGGGAACATCCCAACCTGGAAGGGAGAGATTTCCAACACAGGACCTGCCACTAAAGGAGAGGCTCGGGAGCAAGTCTCCCCAGACCCCATCACAGAAGGCACAGTCTCTTCCTGAAAGTCTGTTCAGAAATCAAATAAGCCGCTTTTTTCAATGGCTTCATCCTGAGATAAAATGCCAAGAGCAAGAATACTCTGAGGAAAAGGGCAGCCCCCTATCATCTACACAGAGCAGAGGCCCAGTTGAAAGTAAAGTAGACACTGGGAGTTTTCTAGAGGAGAAACTAGGGCATGTGGTAGATATCAGCTGCCCTCAAGAGCCCCTTCCCTCTGCAGTGAAGACTGAGAATGGTCAGCAGAAGGCAGCAGTGTGTGCCTCAGCAGAGCCTGTCCAGGGGCATCCTTTCAACTGCAGGACGTCCTCCTTTAAAGAGACAGATACCAAGTCCGATGGCCAAGAAGCTGTCTTGGGAGACAAGGACAGACTCACCCAGAAAGTTTTGGCATTTAAGGACAAGCTATTCAATCAGAAGCAGCCCCAATCTGTGCCCTGGAGGAGGACTGTGCCTCATCCAAGCCCCACCTGCAGGCCTGCAGCTGCCCGGGGGCCTCCTGCTCTCACCGCTGCTGGAGGTGTAGTAGAGATCAATGTCTACTATGTAGACAGCAACCACCTCTACAGAATTTCCAGGGAAAGAAGATTTCCCACCCCCAAATAATTTTTCCTTGTGGTGACTGCTGATTTGCCCTAATAAATGTTTCACTAATAATAGTGATTTTTGTGTACTGTGATGGGGGCATAGATTTGGTGTGTTTCAGAGCTTCTGTTTAGGGAAAGGAGGGATTTAGTTCAGCTCTTGCTGATTGCTTCTTTTGGGTTCAAAGTGACCAGCTCCCTTTAGCCCTTTTTGAAAAATAGATATCTTGTATTTCCCCTCATCCCCCACCCCGCCACCCTAAAAATACCATTTCCTCTCTGATGAAGTTTAAGGAGATGGGTTCTGTCTCTTACCTTTTAGCTTAGCTTTAATAAACATAAATGGGAGCCCATATCTTCCTCCTAGAATATGCTTAATAATCCTTAAATAGCATACAATACAGGCCTTCTGTATATGAAGAAGATCAAGGACAGGTATGTGCTTTTAGAAAATATCAGTGAAGAAGAGACAGTGGTTTAAGCATTATTTACTAAGTTAGTGATAAGAGGATCCCACAGTAGGGTGAACACTGAATGGGAGTGTTGGGGGGCGTTATGGCTGAAGAAGATCCTGGGATGGTTGGGGAAGGCTCTAGGAACAACATAGATCTGTTTAAAGATCTGTCTCATGGGTCACGTTAATGTGTTGGGGAAGTGTACTTTAACCTTGACACTCAAGTATGCCTTCTGGAAAGTCACTTTGGGGAAGTCATTCCTGCCCCTGGGTCTTCAGCACAATGGATTGGCAACTTCCTTCTTTCCTTTTTTTTTCTGAGCAGAAACATTACTCAGCTATCTGTGGGAGGGATATTAACCAGGCAGCCACCTATCTCCCTGGGTAAAATAAAGCTGAAAGTAAGGAAAATATGCATTAGACTAAGCGAGAAAGTAAGATCAAATGAAGAAAGAGTGACCTTGTTGGTGGAACAAAGGTGATACCCATCATCCCGACACTGTGATCCTGTCTTGTTCCCTAGCTTCCTCAAACTGACCTCAGCTTCACCTACCTTGGCAGATCAGAGCGCTGCAAGGTCTGCGCTGTCTCACACCAAAAGGCATGGGTTCTTTCTTGAGCACTAAAACAGTATTTGCAGGGATGTCATCCCTGTGTTTGGTGATGGTGAAATTTGTTCCTTCTATCATGCTTGATGGAAATATGTAAGGCCTTGCCCTTTGTGGGTGTACATGTCATTTATCAGGAGGGAGGTGTCACCTTTGATATTCATGGCTTTAGGGGAGTTATAATATCTCCCGGAACACCAATAGCTCATGAACCAGAGGTGAGTTCTCAACTATGAACTAGGGTTACTGATACATGGGGGCTCACCTTGAACCTCCATGGGATACTCTCTTTAGCCAAACCTGCACATATACCTATTCATGCTATAGTGGCAGGCAGGCGAGTCAACTCCACTGGTTCATACTAAAACACAAAAATGGAATGAGTTTCCTAGTGAGCACTTGAGATACTTTGTCCAATAAGTGTTATGAGTCCTGAGCGTCTGGAAAAAAACACAAAAACAAAACAAAACAAAACAAAACCAAAAAACCAACAAAAAAAACTTAGTTGTGTACCACAATCCTCTCTCACTACCATACTTGTATCTTTTGTACAGAATTTATGCTATTGACAATGTAAAAACCGTGGGCTCACCAAAATGCAGATTTTGTAAAGGTTGTGAGAGGGATGAAAAGGTGAAATGAAGAGGTGATCAGGCAGTGAGCACTCTAACACCCATGTGGATCAAGCAGCCAATAACCCAGCTTCCCATTCCCTTCATCATCTTAGGGTGCAGTTACTGTCACACTGTAGGGCAGGAGCACCTTTGGCATATGGAATATAGTCTGACCTTAAACCCCTATCCTTCCAAATTATATACCCCTTATTAATTTTTCAACTCCAGGTCATATTTCCATTTATCCCTAGGCAATTCACGAAGCTCTTGTTTCCTCCCTTACCAAGGTAGACTTGATGGCTAACAGGTAACCAACTTTTAAACACTCCACTATAAATGGGCCACTTCCAGTCTTCTTTAGTTCTTCCTGTCTGCCATAATTTGAAGTTTTTGTTTTTTTCCAGAAACGTCTTTTATAAGTAACTGACCATTATTGGATTAAATCTTTTTATCGATTCTCCTGGTGCCCCAGAACTATCTAGAAGTCATTAATTATTCAAATAACTATCCCTTGTTACTAACATGTGAATAAAGCAAATGGAGCTTGGGTCCCTTTTCCTTAATCTGTTCTCTCTCCAAAGCTACTAAAGTCTATTTCAAATCTCTTTTACTTTCTTCAAGCTGAGTCTGTCTCCATTGGCTCATCAGATGAGCTAGAAGACATGAGACGAGAACTTTTCAACCAAACACTTCAAAAAGCATCTCCACATTCTTCCTTTTTCCTTCCTGTTGCATGAAAAGAAGTTTACTCCCAACCTCAAAGGAACATAATTCCTGAAATTACCTTTTTGAGAGAGATAGCTAAATTCCTGTCTTAATAGATTGATGCATCCTTGCCAAGTACCCTTTTGCCCCTCCCTCTCCTTATGAGGCATTTAACATCTTTTATTTTTAAAAAGCTTGTTACAGAAATACATAAACATCTATAAGAGCAGATATAACAATGTATCTTCCCATGTACACACAACCCAACTTTCACAATTATGAATTGGCATGTATAATAAATAAATCCCATTTTTATAATAAAAATGAAAAAGCCCATTGAAACATCCTGCCAGCTGCCTCTCAGACATATTCCATGTGCCCATGTCAAAGCTCTCACATTTCTTTGATATTTATCATGTGTGGAACACATGTATGCACCACAGATGTAAATAGCATTGGTGAGGGAAAAACACTGAGTTGTAAAGGTTTTAGTAATCAGTTCTGTTCTGCCTTTAAGTCAACCCTGAGGAGTCACTTGAGTTCTCTCAACCCCATTCAAGGCATCATCTTACAGAGCAATCCTATGCACAATATTGCTGTTCCCTCACCACACAGTGACTACACTGACATGCTAAAAGGAAACTACATGTTGAGTTGGCATCACTATATGTGTTTTCAAATATTTAGAAAAAATATTTTCCTGTCACATTTAAAATAAGATATTGTGTTTTGAGTTAAACAGTCGATCAAACATATGTGTTTATCTATTTTCACTTCTACATTCCATTAAAAGTAAAAGATTAGATGTTCAATATCATTAGCCATCAGGGAATGCAAATCAAAAGCACTATAAGATAGCACTACACACACAAAAAGATGGCTAATATCAAAAAGTCAAATGTTAAGTGTTGGTGAGCATGTGTAGAAAGTAGAACCCTCATACATTGTTGAGAATAAAAATGGTGCAGCCATTTTGGAAAACATTCTGGTACTTTTTCAAAATGTTAAATATAGAGTTTACATATGACCCAGCAATTCCACTTCTAAACATATACTCAAGAGAACTGTAAACGTATGGCCACACAAGAACTTATAAAGGAATGTTCATAGCAGTATTATTCATAACTAGTAACCCGGTGCATGAAATTTGTGCACATTAAAAGGGGATTAGTTAGAGGAAATAATTTAATATTGCTATTTGCCCTTTCTCTATAATAAAAATGTCAGAGATTAAAGACAATTAGTAAAATATATATGAAAACCTTCCTCCTGTCAGAGTCTGGGGCTCACCATGGGACCCAGAGTCAAGTCCCCACCCATCCACATGCACCTCAAAATTGCATGAGACCCAGACCTGGCCACCTCCACTCTTCTCCCCCTGCTCCCCCTCCCCCCAGTTGGGCTAGATCCAGACCCGGCCAGTCCCTCCCTTGTCAAGCCCTGCTGGGCAGAGGGCATAGCCTCAGGTCCCCTGGCCCAGCGCCAGGATGGGGGATGTGCATTGAAGTCCCCCATCAAGCCCTGCCAGGTGGGGAACATGGTCTGAGATCCCCTGTCAAGCCCTGCTGGGTGAGGGGCACAGCCTGAGGACTCCTGTCAAGCCCAGCCAGGCAGAGGGGCACAGCCTCAGGTCCCCTGGCCCAGTGCTGGAGCAGGGGGTATGGCCTGAAGAACCCTGTCAAACCCACCTGGTGGGGCACACGGCCTGAGGTCCCTCAGCCTGGAGCTAGGGTAGGGGGAGCAGCCTAAGGTCCCCTAGCCCAGCACCAGGATGGGAAGTACACCTTGAGGTCCCCTGTCAAGCCCTGCCAGGTGGGTAGTGTGGCCTGAGGTCCCCTGTCAAGCCCCTCTGGGTGGGGGGCCTGGTGCCAAGGCAAGAGGTGTGGCCTGAGGTGCCCCAGCCTGACACCAGGGCAGGAGGCACAGCCTGAGGTCCCTGTAAAGCCCTGCCGGGTGGGGGGGCACAGCCTGAGGTTCCCTGTAAAGCCCCATGGGGACGGGGGAGGGCATAGCCTTAGGTCCCTGCTGTCCATCTTGTGTCCACATGGGGGTGGCCATCTTGTGTGTTGGAGTGATTGTCAATTTGCATATTACCTCTTTATTATATAGGATGTCCTTTGGGGTTTTGTTTGCCAAGAAACTCCTCTATTACAAGAGTCAGTCTAGATTCATATACTGCATTTAGTTGTCATGAGCCTTTAGTCTCCTTTAATCCGAAGCCTTTCCTTTTTGTGACAAGGTCCTTTTTGAAAAATATATTCTATGTGCCATTTTTATAACTACTTCTCACCTGGAAATGTCTTGGTGAAGCTGACCCTGTTTATCATTTAAAGGATGTTTTTATAGTTGTGAGTCCTAATGATCCTAGAAATAGCCAGAACCAGACTTGATATAAAACATAGCAGAGATGAAAAGATGTTGAGGGGTTTTTCTTAACGAAGAAACCTCTGTCATATAAGGGAGGATATGGGAGGGGAATGGGAAGGAGAAGGGGAAGACTTGAAGTTTGCCTTCCTTTGGGTGTGGACAATGGCAAACTGTGGATGCAGTAGAAGACAAGCAAAGAAAGGAGCTGTCATTACTGGTAAAACTTCCTCATAGGGAGGGAAAGCATTGTGTGTCTGGGTTCAAGACTGTTTCT